TTGCTAGGGACTTGCCCGGCACTTGCTCTCTACCTCTATTTGTTATCTTTCTTCTATCATTGACAGTCCCTCTAGGTTGTGGGCTGCTTGCCTGTGTTCCTGAGAAGCATCTACGGTACCAGTCTATAGAGTGTGTTTTCTTTAGTGAATTACCGGTATGTTTACCGGTAATAAACTTGCACTGTTTTATGTATATGTTTGATTACATACAGCCTTGTGACAGTTTTCCTGCATGTCATAAGCATTTGAATATAAATTAAAATGTTAAAATCAAATCTGATATTGTTTTACCTTTTATTTGGTGTGTGGAAGGTGTGCGGAAGAGGGGGTAGTCTTATACGGCGAGTATATAACAAACTCTGTATTTTGAGTGGAAATGTTAGGGGGTCGTCTTATACGCCCAGTCGTCTTATACGCCGGCAAATGCGGTACTCATTCTAGTGTTGGTTAAGTGATGGTGCCTGAATTCTCATAGGGTATGATCAGTCATAAAATAGGACTTTCAAAGTGTCTTCATAGAGAACTTAGATTCCAGTGATTTCGTTAACTCGGCAGATAATTGAGCCTAATCATTACTAATACCTTTTTAGCACTAGATTCAGGTTATAGAGTATTTCAAATCAGCCTTTTTACTTACATTTAAGAAACCTTCACAAGTTATCTTGTTTTCTGCTAGCAAGACCAGAGCTTTTGTGGTGCTATGTGGAATTCAACAAAATGCATGAGTTTAAAGACTTACATAGCATTGATGCACAGTTCCTTCCGGTCTTCTGAGTATCTCCAGAAGAAACCCTTTGAGAACCAATGGCCCAGTCATTGCACGCTGGACAGTCAACAAGTCTGTAATAAATATGTCTTGATATTTAGTCTTTTGATCAGTCCTACTGTTTGTCAATCAGAATTCAGCTTTAAAAGGACATATTCATGGCGAAGAGAACAGATTTTATATAGTAGGATTGTTAAATCTGCTAAATCTTAATAGCGTTTGAAAAACACACAAATTCTTAATATCTGACTTTGATAAATTGAGTTGAATATATTCATGTAGATAATTTTAATTCAACATAGATTCCCACTCTCACACTCTACTTCCTACTAATCACCCCCATATAAAACTCCAACTGTGGGATTTGGGAGGGGAAGGAGAAAGTCATAGGTGAAGACAGCTGGACCATGGACTTGTCCTTTGTGACTTTATATTTTCATTCTTTTGCTATTGAGGGAAGATGAAGCAGGCATATTTCAAAAGAACAGCTGACACTACCCATACAAATTCAGTAATTACGTCAGTCACTCTAATTCCTTGGGGTTTGGGGCTCTTCTCTTACATGTTCGTGGCAGAGGTCCAGTTTGTAGGAGTGGGTAAGAAGTGGTTGAATATAGATTGGGAACATGCCAAGTGTACATTCTAAGGCAGGTTTTTCACCCTGTTTCCCCAGCCCTCTGATTTCTCCTTAAGCTGTGTTATCCTTAGTTGATTGAAGAAGGATAAAAATATGTTCCCTGTTTATATATAAGGGACACCTAAACCAGGCTTTATAGGTGGGGAACATCAGCTGGTCTTTTGAAATGTAGAAACTTTAAGGTTTTGTTTCATTTTTGTTTGGTTGGTTTTGGGGGTCATTTTGAAGCCTTTTAAGTCATAAAGAACTATGATAAAACTACCAGATTCTTTACAGTGAATGAGCTATATAGTTTGGTATTTGGAATGACATGGGCGCATACCCGGCATCGATACAATATACACGAAAGAGCAACTCATGCCAAAAAGCTCCAGATCACAGGAGCATTTGAAGTATTTGATTATTTCAGATGTTCTGCAGCATGAAGAAAATTAAAGGAAGAGGGTACTGTGAACCAACAGTAACCTCTTCACTTGGGAGGTATATGTGGGCATATGGAAACGTATTGAACCTTGCATTTTCTGATCATTTCTGCATGGCATCTCTGTTATTGAGAGACTGGAATCTTCATGTGGTCTCAGTTTTTTAAATTACTGTTTGTCAAGGTGCAGGGCGAGCTGCAAGTAGTATTTTGTTTCTGATGTAATTAGTGGATCATGAAATCAGAAAAGGAAATTTTCATTTTTTTTCATTAATGAAATAAAATATAATAAAATGCATGTCTGCAAACACACAGCTTTGGCATCACCTAGGAGCTTGTTAGAAAAGCAGAGTCTCAGACTCCACCCAGACCTGCCCTGTTAGAATGTTTATTAATCTTTGTTATAACTAAATCCTAAAAAGTAAAGTTGATTACAACCAAAACCCATTCATTAAATTGTTTCAATTTGCGTGTTTCTATGAACAAACCAGCTTGCACCTGAAAATATATTTTTATGGGTCACAGTAAAAAAAAGTTAGAAATCCACTGTTCTAAATGTGAATGATGGCACTTATCTCTGGTTGTGGTCTTACCATTAACTTTGAGATAAATGTAAGATAAACGAGATAAATGCTCTGCATCGGCATCATCTGCAGTTTTTCTTCTATTTCTTGTTTTTAATATCAGTTCTTTCACCTCACTCCTTCTTCTACTTAGTGTCTCTTACTCCTCTGTTGCCTTGTTCCCAGCTTCTGTGCTTCAGTCCTCAGAATGGTAGCTAGTGTTGTGAAACGTTATCCTCAAGTTTCAGTTTGGAGTTAAATATACTCAGTGCGCTGGGAGATTAATACTAATTAGCAGGATTTTTGAAATGTCCCTCGCACCAAAGTTGAAGAAGAAAATAACCAAGTTTTGATAGTGTGCTTTCCTTCTCAATTTGTTATTCCTTCCAAATGTCAGATGTCATAGCAACATTTTGATTCGGGTATAATTAGGTCACTCGGTCTTCTTTGTGTGCACATGTGCATAGCACGTCTTAAATACTGTGAACGGAGTATTACGAAGAAATATGTGTAACACCGAAGTCTGGCTTTGTATCCCCAGTTGTATTTAAAGCAAGCAACTGTGGCTTTAGTTTCCTGATTCCAGCCTCACCCAATGGGGGCCAGGTAGAGGAAGCTAATCTCTTGTATCACTATTAAGAGAATGGCCAGTTTCCTGGAATGTGACCCTAATGAAAATAAGTCATACTACTTGTATTTAGTGTTTGTTCCTTTGACCAGCAATATGCAGTTCAATTTGCTATAAATTAGCAGCTTAGAAATACGTGCTTCCTTGCTCTGGCTCTGAGACTGCAACCTGTGAACTGCAGACAATGCTTGCAGAATTTTGATTGAGTTATCTTTGGCTAGTTTTAAACATTCGGTGTCACACAACCCCACATCTGTTGCTATACTGATCCCACTCTTTTCTCCATCTGATTACTCCATTTAACTTGTACTTTGTTTTAAAGGGCCTCAGAACTGAATTTATTTTATTTTACCTAGGAACCCTATAGGGTTGCTCCAGAAAAGGGGGAGAAATAGAACATTTTGAAATCTCTAACCCTATGAAAATGAAGGGACTTGTTATATATAATTTTTATTGGTTCTATCAAGCTCATTAGTATCTACAGCAGAATTACCAATGATTACTATTTTCTTCAATGATTTACCATACTCTATAACAGTATGATATACATGTATTTGTTAATGTTAAATGAGTTTTCCTCTAATTTTTCTGTGCATTTTCCCCCCTTTTCCACGAAGGCCTTATCTGTTTGGAGCGGGGTGTTTTTCCATAAAAGCTCCATGGTGAGTCCCAGTTCAGTCCCGCATGCCTAATTCATTTGTTGTACTCTCAGAAAATAACTGTTTTGTACTGTTGTTTCCGTTGCATGGCCTGAGCACAGATAGACGCACCGAAGTACTGAATAATTTGTAGATGGGACATGAATGATGATATTTAAGCTTTCAAAGAGCAGTTTCTTGGGTTTACTTCATTTCTTGAAAAGTCAAATTAAATCACAGTTTAATATTAAAGAAAAAGAAATTAGAAGAATTCTCTCTCATAATGCTAGTGTATAAGCAAGGCTAACACGCCAGTTTAAGGCTTTGAGCACTGTAGTAATAGAAGCTCCCTACA